AAATGTTTCCTTGTAGAGAAATGATAATATTACCATCAGCACTAAACATGGCTGAATTAATCAGGTATTTGCTGGAGTGATAGAATGAACCAACCACTTTTCCAGCATCTGTAGAAATACATCACATAAGTTCTAGAAATCTGGAGTGAACTTGAGACCTATAGACATTCAAACATGGTGTCTCATAGAGAACTCAACTGTTCCTCATGCATGGAGAAAAGTCAGTCTGACTGGTGAAGATGAAATGATTTTGTCTATATTTCTGAGATAAGGTATTATGTACACTATATACATTATTCGGACTTTTGTCCTCATCTTTGTTGCCATATTTATCACAATGTTTCAGCTGTTGTACACTCCGGCCTTCTTCAGGTGGTTGGAATGTTGAACTGAACCCTTTATTTCGCACACTAGGGTAGACTGTTCTAATTCCATTTGCCATGTCTAATGGATCTCAGTCATCAGTTATATCTTGTTAATTCCCCTTTCCAAGTTCTCCACCACCTTAACCAGGTATTGAAGAAGGGAATTAACAGGAGTAACTGATCTGATAAGGTTTTTCTAGAGCAGCTGATAAGATAAACATGAAAACTTTCTTTGTTGAGGATCTTATTTTCTTTGGGAATGTATTGAATATATATCCAAAACAATTCAATGTTAAATAAATATTCAAAGCAATTCATGTGGCATGAAGGCACTGATAGTATTAATTGTCCTCCTGTAGCTGACAAGATATCTCATGAAATATGTCTTCATCACGAGTCTTCTTACTTTAAGAATGACGCGAATAGATCCAAGACAGATGATAAAGTCTTTGAAACCAATTATTGTCATTGTGTGGCTGGTGAGATATCTCAGGGGAAATTTATTTTATGTGGATCTCTTCTTCATATTCTGGAAATCAATCAGATTCAAGATGATTCAGATATGGAGATGCAGATAGGAAAAACAAGGATTGACCCGGTTCAGCTGGTGAAATATTTTATTAATATTCCAGTCTCAATGGGTTAATTATTAATATTTGGATTGCAAAAGTAAATCCAAAATGTCAAAAACATTTACTTTCTTTGATTATTAGAAGAAGAATCCAAGAGCTGTTTTCAGTATTAAAATTTGTTGGATTTCTCCACTTTGTCTGCTAAGGTGTTACTGTATTCAAGAATAAAAAAAGGGAAGGAACATAAACCTTCTTTCTCTCTTTTTTTCTCCAGAATGCAATAGTTAGAAGTTATGTCCAATCCTTTTCTCCAAGATGTCTTAGTTGCATGGTAAATTGACTTTGTAATTTCCCACACCCTCATGGCACTTCACAAACACAGTACCCCTAATATCTTAAATATTTTCCTTTGCTTTCTTTGACCTATCTGTATACATATAAGTATAATTTTCTTTTTCTCTTCCTTGTAGGTTAGCTTTATCTTTATAGATATATATGTATTAAAATCGTCCACATTTTGAAATCATTTCTTTGAAAATCTTCAACCGGAGATATTACAAAGTTGCAAGTCACTACTGCAAGCTCATTCTTTTTGTTACATTTGTTGTTTCATCCAACCTGTTCTATGCATGCCTTCAGGTGCAGAATTCATAAGAAATGAGAAGACAATGTAAACTAGAAAATGATAGCAAATAGATTGTCTCATGTTGAAGGCAAGAAAGTAAGTTTATCAACAGACATGACTAAAATCAAAGAAAATCAGCAGTGATCTAAGGGATTGCAATATCCTTGAAAGAAAAAATCTAATCATCACATTTGATTTATGATATAGTATGACAAAACACTGTAAAGGAATCTATTTTAAGTAGCTGATCAAAGAATTCATATACAACATCCCATACAGTTGTGGAAAAGAATATAAAGGAAAAACAAAGTTATCACTGAATATCAGACTTGTGCAATATGCTCAAAGTGCATCACAATGAAATGTTTGAACTGCTCGGTAAACTTGATCTATTTGGGAAGGATATTAGAAGAATCCAGAATTTATACTAGAAACAAACAGTTTGCATACAAAGAGAAAAATGTAAATACACAAAAACAGTAAGAGGTGTAAAATGAGGATGTGTCTTCTCAACAGATCTTTTCACTTTACAGTGAAGTAATCTTGAGAGAATTAAATGTCCTACCAGGATTCATTATTGGTGGCCACAATCTTAATATCATTAGATATGCAGATAACAGTGTGTTGATAGCAGAAAAAGGAAATTAGAGAAGGTAGCAAAAGAAAGTAAAAAGAAAGAACTAAATATCAATTGGGAAATGACAGAATGTATGTTTTTTAGCAAAATGAAGAGCCTCACATGCAAATTACAAATTGAAGATACTAAAATAAAGCATGTACAAATCTTTAAATATGTGAGAAGTGTTTTGACAGGGGCTGAAAAATCTGGCACTGTAGCCTAAAGGTAAATTGGGAACATGAAAGTTGGCATTCAAAAGCTCAACAATGTATTAAGAAAGAGAGGAATTTTATTTGAAACAAAAGAAAGACTATTTCCCTGTTATGTAACGTCAGTCCTCCTATATGGCAGTGGATCGTGGACAATCCCCTCACAGATGAAAAAGAAACTTGAGGTAACAGAAATGTAGTTTTACAGAGGGATGCTGAGAAAATCATAGACTGAAATTGTGAGCAATGACAAAGTTTTAGAAAAAATGGAATAAAAGTATCTTTTACTTAGCATCAGAAAGAGACAGGTGAAAATTCTAGGGTACATAATTAGGAAAAAGGGCTTAGAGAATTTAACACACACAGGACATATTGAAGACAAGATGGATAGATGAAAACAGATCAAATCGTATCAAATAGGCTTGTGCAAATTGTTGGTGGACTAGGGATCAGGAGGGATGGTAAAAAGAAAAAAACTTACTAAAAGCTACAACGTACAAGAAGTTGTATAGAGCCACCATCATGGTACATAGAAGAAAAAGATGAACAGATAGGGAATATTGGAGATGTGTAAGGTAAGTGCAAGTAGATGAATAGTACATAGATAAATACAGCCATGGACATAATTATGGGGCAGGTGAATAAAAGTAAGAAATATAATTGAAACTTATGTATTTTATCATTTAAAGAACAAAGATTTTAAAGTAAATTTAACCTATATTTAATACTTGGTGTGGGCTCCTTTTGATTTTTTTTTTATAACTGCCTTTATATGCTTTTGCATATTGGAAACCAGCTTATCACAAATAGTTGGCTCGATTTTCGTCATTCTTCAAGAAATTTGGATTCTAATTTGTATTTTGAAGACTATTTGTACACTCTCATTTGTGTACTTAAGCATGTCTATGAATGTTCAATGAGATTCAGGACAAGGGATTGAGGAGGCTTCTTCATTACCCTCACTTATTTCTTTGCAAACAAACCATTTGAAATTCTGGATGTTTGGTATGGTGCATTATCTTGTTGGAAGATTACTCCATCTGTTATGTTATTGCTGAAAATTTTCTCTAATGAATGTTTGTAACATTGGTCTAACATGCTTGTGTAAGTGCTGGAATTCATTCTATTCTCACATGTGAATAACATTCCTGTCCTGGAAGATGACATGCAACCAAAAATCATTATGTTCTCACCTAAAGTTTTTACAATTGGGGCAATACATTGAGAATCATATTCTTCCCCAACTCTTCGACAAAGTCCAGGGGCTCCAAACATCTGATAAAAATAAAAGTTTTAGGGATAATTTTCTATTCAGTAAAAATACAGTATTAATAAGCATAATAAAATCAGTTATGCTCAATAAATTAGTTTCAACTAATAAAGAAACTTAATTCAAATTTGCTTTCATCAGACCAGACAACTTTTGGCCCAATCCTCAGATATCCAATTTTCATGCTCTTTGGCAAAAGAAAGTCTCCTTTTCCTATTAACCTCAGACAATAATTGTTTTTTTCTAGCCTTACATCCTTTCAGGCCTTCTTCTCATTGTGTGAGTTGATATCACTTTGTTTGTTGCCTCTCAAAATTCAGCAGTCATGTTAGATTTTTTTCACCTATCACCTAGATATACCCTCTTTAGCAGTCTGTCTTCCCTTGAGTTTGTGTACCTTTTCCAACCTTGACCATCATGATTTTTGAAAGAATTGGTTTGCTTATATCTTTTAATGGTTGTTTGTATACCATTCCTTGAGCATTTGACTTTTCTTGCAATTTTGACTTGGGATATCCCTTCTTTGAACAATGCAATAATTTCAGCCCTTTTAGTTTCAGGAATGTTTTTCTTCGGAGACATTATCCACAAAGAAGAAGCACTTATAAATTGATACTAAGTTTGTTACTAAAAGATTAGAAAAGATTTAGCATTACAGATTAAATTTTAGCACTACAGATTAATTTTTAGTACTACAGATTAAATTTCAAATAAATGATTTTGTCGCTTATGCTAAATAAATAAAAATTAACACAAATCACTATTGGTACCTATAACTGCCAGTGAAACATCAATTCAAGAATACTTATTATAGTGTTTTCAGCTAATATATGAATGAGTTTCAATCATGTTTTTAACTTTTCTACACCTGCCACATAATTTTGTCCATGGGTGTATATGTCAGGAGATTGGCAATTGTATAAAGTAAAAGGTGAGAATCCAAATTTACTTATAAAATATGCAATACTCAGTGACTCAACAAGCAAAGAAGTCAGGCATACACAATTAGTCTCCTGAGTATATTTGCTACCAGTTTCTTCAATTGATCATTTTTTTCTCTTAGAGTATGATTTCTATCTGAAAGTAGTAGTTAAAATCTGCAAATAAGCTTACAAACATGTTTCGATGAAATGTTTAAAAATGTATTTGAGCACGTGTCCTACTAAAGAAATAATTAAAAAAGATATAAAAATTATGAAAAAAAATTAAAATTATGAAAAACTTTACTGAAAACAATATTATTTTAAAAAGTTTCCCATTAAAATATAGTTTTAATTTAATTTTCTTTTTCAATACTATTATTTATATTTACAATTTTTAAATGAATAGTTAATCTATTTTCATTTTGAAGAGTCTCTACATAAATTGATGAAGAAAACGATTTTGCCTGATTGAAGAAATAATAGATAGATAGATAAACAGCCATCAACAATTATAGATAGATAAGAACAGTCTACATCAGACAGATAGATAGATCTATAGATAGCTAAAAACAATTTATGATAGATAGACAGATAGACATGAACAGTTTACAATAGATAGACAAGAATAGTTTGATATAAATATGTAGACATAAATAGTTATTGATAGATAAATAACAGTTTACAATAGATAAACAAAAATAGTTTGAGATAGATAGATAGATAGATAGATAGATAGATAGATAGATAGATAGGTAAAAACAATTTATGATTGATAGGTAGATAAACATGAACAGTTACTGATAAATAAGAACAGTCTACAATCAATTGATAGATAGATAGATAGATAGATAGATAGATAGATAGATAGATAGAAAGACAGTTTAAAACAATTTATGATTGATAGATAGAGATGAATAGTCTGAAATAGATAAATAGATACATAGACATGAACAGTTTATAATAGATAGATAGATAGATAGATAGATAAGAACAGTTAAAATAGATAAATAAGAACAGTTTGAGATAGATAGATAGATAGATAGAAAGAAAGAATCATAATCTAAATAGTAATTGCAATTATCTTTTATTTGAAGTGATATAAGATCATCAGTATAACTTAATGTCTTTGACAATAGCTCAAATAATAGGCTATTTTTAATTACACATTAGAAAATATGACCATGTAGTGTATTAAGTTGGTATACAGTTTTCACAAACCAAAAAGTGCATAGCTACTCTTTGTTCTACATGGACGGTACAGATGAGTAAGACCATAGAATAAATCATTGGAAATATTGTAGTGACAACAAAAGCAGTAAAAAATAGTCTGAACAACTTCTGGAATGCCAAAAGCATCATGAATTTATTAATAATGATGGGAAAAAGCAAAGGTTTTGAAATGTATATCGAATTCCAAATTGTCTGTATTTTCCAAAGATGTCATATGGTATATTTTGGCAATGAAAAAGTCCGTCAGTCATGTTTTCAATTCTACTTTTTGCTAGTGTTTTACCTTTTCTTGAAATTAGATACTGACAATATTGCCAGAATTCTCTGATTTCAATTTGAACATTTTCCCAAAGCTACACTTGATAAAGAAATAACTTGTTTTGGACATAGAACAAATAATCATCCACGCTTACTTTTTTTTCACTTTCTCGTTTGCTCTCCTTCTCTTTCACCTTTTAACCTCTTATTATTGAAACATACATACATACATATATACATACATATATACAAATGTAATTATATGATCACTGAATTAAAACATATCAAACATATCTGTGTATATATATATATGTATATATATATATATATATATATATATATATATATATATATATATATATATATATATATATATGCAAGCATGTATATAAACACATAGGTATGTAAATACATATACACTCAGCCATTCCCACACAAACAAAATTAAAGATATAAGTGAAGATATACAAGGATACAAACCATTTTTATGTATATATGTAAACAAATATATGCATATATGCTTCATATATTTATATTCATATATTTATATATATAAATAGTTATATATATATATACATATAGGGACATGTATATGAATAAAATAATACCTCTAGACATACAAATATATATATGTGTGTGTGTATAAATTTACATCAAATGTATATGTATATTTCTACTTTGTGTATGTATACACACCTATATTCAATGCATACATGGACACAAACACACACATATATATATATATATATATATATATATATATATATATATATATATGTGTGTGTGTGTATTTAATATTTATATATATATATATATTAATTTTATAAAACCTCTTCCCTTTAAGGCTAATACCTTCAACCCCCCAACCACTGTCTCAGACATTTCGTCTGACTGAAACATCAAAATGGATAAATTTTGTATCAATTTTTCGATAGCTGTCAAAGTTAAATTTCTAATTCTGACACGAACACAGTCTATACACCAAGGTTGAATAAAACTGATGTAGCTTTTGTTGGATATGAAGTAATTTTGTATTATGTTGTGTAATTTATATGCTCTGTTATAATAAATACATTTTTTGTCAATCAGTTTTAACATTTGATATTATTAGGATCCACTTAGATTATAAAACAACAGATTTATTGCCTGTACTATACACACACACACACACACACACACACACACACACACACACACACACACATATATATATATATATATATATATATATATATATATATATATATATATATATCTTATATCTTGTAACCTAGGGAAGATTATTAAATAGAATAATCACACAAAGGTTGGTAATAAACGATAATACTTAGGACAAGAACAAAACATATAAGATTCGCCAGCAGTGCATAGAAGTATTCAACTGCTAGAAGTGAGTCAAGTGAATTTCACAATGAATCTCCAACTGCAGACCAACATACAGTATTTATGTGAATAGGGACAAACCCATTATCATCTGTAGGTATGCTCCAACAATATATATATATATATATATATATATATATATATATATATATATATATATGACATACAATTTTACAGGAAAATCAACATATATATATATGCAGGTATATGTATATATGTGCATTTATCTGTTCACATAAATGTATATATGTCTGTGTATATGTATGCATGTATATATATATGCATATATTCTAAGGAACCAATTTTTTATCCAACATTATTTACTACTACTAAATATGTTATTTTGTGGCTACCAATATTTGCATAGATGGCCTATTTTTTAAATTCCATCATCTACCAACCTGAACATTATAAATAATATTTGGAGTATTAGGATATATATATATATATATATATATATATATATATATATATATATATATATTAAAGACATTTTTTCTTATGTTTAACATTCTTTTTATAGATACAAGTATTTAAGTAAATGCTCTGTTTATATATATATCAGACATATATATATATATATATATATATATATATATATTCATACATGTTTCATTAAATAATATAGACAAGTGTTGTCTATTTATTTTATGTAAATTCTTTTCATAATGTCTGATAAGCTTAATAACATTATTATTAAATGAAGAAAGAAAATCACAATATTGATACATAATTTTTTTAATCCAATCTATGCTTTCGGCTTACATAAGCCATTATCAAAGATGCCAATTACAGTACAATATATTAAGAAATACACAGAGAAGAATGTGATCATAGTCTGTTTCTGTTTACATGGATGATTTCCAAGCAATGATAAAAACATGCAAATAAGACGCTGGAAACAAAAACCGCACTGCAGCTCATGATGTCACACATGACCACACGAGAGTGAATTTGAGAAGTATTAAGTATGGGAAGCCGTTAGTATAAACCAATGGCTTCTGTTACCAATTATAGACATTTAAGAATATTTGTGGAAATTTCATAGTTTATTTTGTTCAGATTAGGTTTCAACTGTTTTATGTATATAGCTTCAAGAATTTTTAGCTTTTGTTTATTGTTTTCATGTTTAAGTATAGTTGTGTTTTCAAGAAGGGTTTTACAGAATTGTGTATGTGGCTAGTCATGTTGTTTTAAATGCTTAAAAATGTTAGAGTTTTCATTCAAATGTAGTGTTAAGCATCGTGAAAGCGAGTTTGTGGTGTGACCAACATAAATATTATTTAATTTGTTGGAGATACAATCTCCCAAAGGGCACTTGAATTTGTAAACTATGTTGGTATTTTGCAAATCGCTAACTGGGGGGAGAAGAATCATTGCGAATAATTGAGTTGGCTATACTAGATACTACAAATACTAGATACTGTTTATGATGTAGTTTTGTGATCCTTATATAGTAGTAACATTCATTCAGAACCCCTCAAAAGGAATGTGACTTGAATTTGTGTTGGAGTCTTTCTGTTTTTTTAAAAAAAAAAACAGGCAGGTCCTATCACTGCAAGGTGTGACAGCCATTGAAATTTTGAAAACTGATTTAGATGCTCTGTACTCTGCAAGGAGGGCCTTTATGTGATGTGAAACTGATGAAAAGATTTGCAGAGCATTACGTTGCCAGATTGCAACAAGCAAGGAAGTATTCCAACCAGAGGATAGAGTTTTCTACAAATGAAATGGTAGCAAAAGTAGCTTGGCACAGGTAAAATTATTTATCAAGATAGCAGAATTGTTTTTGTGCAACATGGGGGAATATATGTACAAGTATCTGCAAAGAGACTTTATTCAGAATATTACACCTCTGATGTAGAAAGTGAAAATGGCAAACAGATCAACTATTCACCATCAAATAAAGACACCACTAATAATACAGAACCACTAACAGAAATTATATATATATATATATATATATATATATATATATATATATATATATATATATATACACATATATGTCTGTGTCCTATATATATTGTTATGATTATTTACACATGCACACATGAACTCTCCCAGCTATAAATAGGAGGAGGTACTGCCTTTTGGAGAAGGAATTTTTCAGCAGTCAGCTCTGACGGTCAAACTGAACATTCTTGCTGTTACACTCTCATTTGTATATGTTTGTATTACTGTTTCTGTTAATATATTTGTTTAACTCACTTCCTCTCTTGTGTCTTTATTTCTGGCCCTAACAAGGTGTTATAGTGGAACACACCTATTCTATAGTTAATAGACTCTCCCACCTATAATAAGTACAAGTCGGTCAGTGGGTTGGTGAGTCAGTCGATGTCGGACGACACTGAGTCGGATACTAAAGTATCAGCGACCACAACTAGATTACTCTGTGTTATACCTATTATATAAAGTTCCTAATGTTTTGTACGTCGAACCTATTTTAGGAGCGACTTAGTACAAATACAAGCCTCCACTGTGAAATCACTCCACAACACAAGGCCACAACATATATACATGTAGCTAGCTCAATGATTGGCCAACAATAATCTTATAACTATTCTGATACTAATAACTTAGCAGTGCCATCTATGTAGATCTAGTTTTTCCAAACTGCCATTTTGACAAGGGGAATTAACTCAACACATTTTATTGCTTGTAACACATATGCTTGTCATTTCTTAAATAAGATATAAAAAAATAACATTGCACTGTATCTGACTCAGGATAGTGAGCAATTTCTTTTAATTATTGTGAAATGTTAATGACTACAGACCAATTGAAAGGCTATAAAATGAATAATTTAGATGTAGCAGGCCAAGAAAAGTCTTTATCTCTGCAATTTTTCTTGCTGAAAAATAATCATAAGGAAATTTTGTCAAGAAATCTCAAGCGATAGAGACACAACATGATTTTTCTTGTTATTTTGTTAAAAAAAATAAGCAAACAAAATTTATTTCTCAGATGACACATTTATATTCATAATTTACAGCAGGTAATTTAAGAACATAATTGCCATAATTAAGTTTTAATTTAAATTTTTAATGATGACAGTGAGTAAATGCATGAAAATTGCTTATTTAACATCTAACTATAAATGTGCAAAATGGAAATTTTAAAATGAGTTAATAATCTATTACCAATGTATTTATCTATTTTCACAGGTTGGAATCAATTGATTGTTCC